CGCTAGCGCGACTGTGCATCTATATATTTATATAGTATAGGTACTCGCAGCACCAGTCCAGAGATCGGCGGGAAGGGGTAAAACACCGACGTCGCCACCCACCATCATGCACTTTGTACCACCACCACCGCATTTGTATACATATAATACATCCGTGACTCATCCTCTCTCTCCCGTCGACCCTTTCCCAAATAATACCGCGTGCACATATACTGAAAAAAAAAAAAAAAAAACATCTCTTACTCCACCTTCCTGAGATGGTGGTACATCGTATCATTATATATTTCGCGCGATTTTATCCATACGAAAGCCTCTCACGCGCTTCTTTAAGCTTTCGCGCTAATGAGGCTCGATGCCGCCCGTCACGAACTCGTTATCTTTACGATGTACTTATACGCGCTTGTGTGTAATGCACACGTTATTGGTATATTATATAGATTGTGCAGTCGTAGAGTGAAGTAAAAAAAAAAAAAAAAAAAGAAAGTATTAACAAAATTTTCAACTACGCGGTGTTGACACGAAAGATAAGAACTATAACTGTACACAAAGTAATCTTCGGGAGTTACACCTCGGGGCATTGTACCGCGCGTTATCCTCGAACAAGAGTTTTTTTTATCGTTCAAGTTTGACCGATTCATTTCGAAGCGATTAACCGTTATCTTTGGAAAACATAATGTTAACGATCGACCAATATTTGGAACTTCTCATTAGCGGAAAGAAAGCTCATTACGAGTACATATTTTATAATAATGTATTAGAAGTGTATATGCACACACGAGACGTGTTGTTGTGTAACGTCTGATAACACTGAATGGAAAAAAAAAAAACAAAGGAGAAACTTGTTTTTTTCGACACTCGAAAGGCGCATCGTACACACATACAGGTAACGCGTACACGCGCGGAAGAGGGGGGGGACACAATCGATATTTGAAAAATCCGATGAGACAAAAGTCCGAGTCGGTGCAACGTTCGCGTGTGCAGCGGGTAAGCGAAAATATCGAGGGAAACGGGATGAAAAGCCATAGGTGGTTCGAAGAGAATTCCAGAGCGCGCGTGTGTAAGGGTACATACACCTATATATATATGTACTTTATCGAGCAATTTAATCGAGCGTCAACGTCGGTCGGCCGTTCGCGCGCCCTCGGCCACCTATATATTGTATATATCGTGGCGTATGTATGTACGCGTAGATGTGTGTACCCAATAACTATACTGTATACTAATAGCGTGGTGTACGCGTGGGGCTGACGAACGAGCAAAGGAATATAAGTCGGTCCCGGTCGACTGGCTCTGCTCCAACTTACAAACCTGCCCAAACTCTCGGCTACTAACTGCATATACCTACTCTCCCGAGCTTCCGCGAAACTTTCACGAGTGGACGCGCGGGCTGTGCGCTATGTTGTAGGTAGTATACTCGAGGAGAGGAGCACGGGCTTGCAAGCGCGCACACATACATGCATACCAATCGTAAAGGACAATGCGAGAGAGAAAAAGCAAGGGGAAGCCGAAATCATTGAAAACAAAAATACGACTACTTAAGGCTCCTTCAAACAGTGTCAAGTCAAATTAATTGGAAACGAGCAATAGCTTTTCATTTATTGCTCAGGAAATTTAACTCTCCCTGCATTAATATAACATCATCATAATGGATTGGCGTCAAAGTGCACCAAATTATATAGCACGAGAAAAACGAGCGTTGCGTGTATCGTATTATTATTACTGGCCTCAGGTATAAGTACCTGGAGTAGTTCTAGTTATATACACCCGTTTCTCTCTCTTGCAACTAGCATGAGGTGCGGGGTATTATACACGCATACATAATGCGCCCATTGGAATATACGGGTCAAAGCGCATTGAGTATGTACATGCATTCATACGGTTCAATGTATGTAGATCGCACACGTTGCACTGCACTAGAGTAACGCGTTTGTGTATATACATATATGTACTTAATGTGACAGAGCACATCGCGGCATATTTATGTATTCGGTATACGTATGTCGTGCGCGGCGAGCAAAGTAGCGAGAGAACAGACTGCTATGGAGTATAGGTAAGTAGGTATATACATATGAGCGCGATTTGCAGAAGAGAACATCGGAGTTTTAGGGGCAACGGGGGGGAGGAGGGTGCTCCTTCGTGGCGCGCGCGAATTACGTAAGTCCTGTCGTATAGTATTAACGTATATATATATATATAAATACATAGGTAATGCGCAGTTTACCGCGTGGTATACCTACATGTACAGAATGAACGAGAGTACGTTTAAATACCGCACATATAACATGACACGTCCGTGTGCTGTTGCGCGTACATATGCTAACATATAGGTATACAAATATATGCAGTGTGCACCTTATTCGCAAACATTAAAAACTTTGCAAAAGTTGCATGTACATATAATATAGGGTTATTGTTATTTTGCAAAACGAGAACTGATGCACAGGCATTCGTACCATGTCGAAGGAGACTGATGGTTGGTTAGTTGGCTGGAAAAATAATCGGGATTAAAAAAGGTGCAAGACGCGAGTCTTGTCTCTTTTTTTTCTTCGTCTCGATGCTGCGAGACAACGAGCGAGAGAAAACAAAAGCTATGGCAGACTAGCTATTCATAACATAAATATATAATGCTTGCTCGCACGCACGTGCGCACGCGCTTGGATAAACCTGGCCTCCAACACGTGTACCTATGGAACTCTTGGCTTCATTAAGTTGACGCTGATGCTGCTGCGCTTCCATACAATCTGAGAGAGAGAGAGAGACGCCGAAACCACGACCATTGCTTTTGCTGGCTTCGCTCTCCTTCGCCGTCTAACTTCTGTTGCTCCAAAGTTAAGACCCGAGCTAAACGACAGTGCGAGCCAAACAATTCCGTACCGAGCGAGCACTTTCCTCTTCTTAATTATTTCCTCCCTCCCGTTCCCACTATTTTTTTTTAATCAAGGAAAAATTTACACGATTCTTTCAACGAGATGTTTACCTCAGAGCTGGACTGACTCGTCATACATTCAAATTGTCTCACGTTTTGCTCCAACTTTTCTTTTTGTTTTTGGAGCTACGAACTTTTAATTTTGGAGACGCATGGTTTTTTTTTTTTTTTTTTTTTTTTTTTTCAACCAGTTTTACAATGAAATTGGAACTAAATCGAGTACAGCAGTTACAATCGCCGATTCAAATGAATGTATGTTTACGTCGAGCAGGACGATGAGCCCAGGATGACAGAAAAGTTTCTCATTTTTCGATTATCAAGTGGGAGAAAGAAAAGAAAAAGTAACCAAAACGAACCAAGGATAATAAAAAAGAAAAGGAAAAAAAAAAAAAATTGCTTGTCGAGGGATACATGGGGGGGAAAGAGGCGAGGAGTTAGCACGCGCTTGCAAGAGGGACAGTAAAGCGAGAGAAAAGTTTTCGGTCTATACGATTGGATCATTTTAAAAAGTTGGGAAAGAATCAACTTCTCTCAACTCTGGCTCGCTCGCAGAGCACGCGCTCGTAAATCACTCGATCGAACGTGCACACAGGGAAACTCTCGCGTACTGGGATAAGTAAGGGCGATACGTATACAACATCCACCACCTTCGGTCGGCCCGCTACTCCTCACCAATACACGTATACATTGAGGGCACGTATATTACACCAGTATATATGTATTTGTACGAGAGCGAACGCTGTGGGCCGACTGAATACGATGATGGAGGGACGCTTCTGGAATATCATTCATTTATCTGCCCCACCTTCGGCCGCATCATCTTACTCGCCGCTACATGTATACATTGTTGCTGTATCTACTTCCTCCCATACGCCGATTTTCTCTCTTCACTGCTTTTTTCTTTTTTCTTTTTTCATACGCAAGTACCGTGCGTGCGTATAATATATGTAATAATATGTGCGCGACCCTTTCACTTTGCACATCAACGGGACGCGCGGCTATACGTTTTCCATGCACGAGCTACTGCTGCTGCGGACGGTATCTCTACGTATAGGTATATTTATCCATACGGGAGATAGGAGCAACACACAGCGCGCCGGCCGACTTGCGAAATCCCCCGGCGATAATTGAGAGTCCGCGGGAGAAAGCAGCAAGCGGTCAGCAGCAATAGCACTCGCACACTATAGTCGTTGGCGTATTTCCGCTGTCTCTCTCTCTCTCTTTCGATATCTATACGATATACTTACTGTTTTAAGTATACACAACGAGTCGGGACTTGATTCTCGGAAACGTGCTCAACATAAAATATAGTACCTACATGCGTGCACGACTTTGTAATGCATGCATATTTAAATCCATGTACTGCGTATTATATGTTAATAGACACATGCGCATACGTATACCTAGCCGCGCTTTGTTTATATTTACTTTCTTGCCGTTCACGACTCCGTTTTACACAAGTGTCTATTTATGTACATAAATACGTGCAGTTTAGCGAGTTAAACATTTTGACGCGAGGCCGCTTCCGTACTCATCTCTAAACTTTCGGTTTCAATGACACCAGGGGTACTTAACTCTTAAGGCTAACTTGTAACGCAATACCTGTTTATCTGTTCGAGACTCTGCTATCGCAGGCGGCAACTAAGCAGCGCTTATTGATATAAAGTGTTTAGATACAGATAAAAGTAAAATAAAAAAAAAAAACATCCTAAAACTACACGCAATACATATACGTATTATTCATTTGCAGAAGATTCGCAAACAAGCGGAGAAAAGAAGAACGTGCGAAAGACCGCACTCTGACTCACGAATCCGGGGATTTAGTTTGAGCGGGAAATGAAGTGTGTAAAAAACGGGGAAAAGAAGAGTTCGAGGGAGTCAGCGAACGGCCGAGCAAAAGAACGAACGAACGATGGAAAAAGGGACACGAAGGTAAAGGCAACACAAGCGCTCCTACGTGTGACCCGAACTTGTGTTGGGCGACAAAACCAAGCCGGCTGGGACTCATCGTCGAACAGGTTGTCGAACTTTTGTCACCGGAACGAACAAAAAAAAAATAATAATAACAACTGACCTGTTTCTTTCTCTGGGCACGGTGTTCCTCGATGATGGTCTCGAGAGTGCAGCTTTCGCACGGCTGCCACACGCGCACGTGCTCCTGTTTCCGGGGTGCTCGCAGAAAGGAGTAGCAGCAAACGAGTGGAAGGAAGGAGAAGAGGAAACGAGGGTGATGATGTTTCAACGTAGTCGCACGATCACTAGTTTTGCGCGAAAAAAGTGCGATCCGAATAAGGGAGGAGGTAGATCGAGGGGAGCAGGTACTCCGTGTCCAGGTGCAGGGCGGCCTCCCGGTGCCTCCTGTAATACGCGCACGCTGCAATGGCGACGCTGTTACTATACTCGAGCTTATACTTGATGCCCTCGTCCACCCACTGGAAGCCTATTCTTTTCACACAGGCCGCACACTCGCGGCACTTTGCACACTTTTTTGTTTTGTTTTCTTCTTCTTTTTTACTACTCAACTCCGTGTAGTATAATACCGTCGTCGTCGTCACTGCCGGCTGTTGTTCTACTGCACCAGGTGTGTCCAGGGCACGGCGCGCCAGACAGCCACACTAACTGCTACGAGTCTCTCCTCGTCCGGGCACTGCACACACAGCTCAGCCGCTAACGCGCACCGACTTAAAATGGCGGCCAACCGCGCACTCTCGTATCTCAATACCTATATACACACACCTTGCGGCTTGCGCATGTACATGTGTATAAATATATAGCCCCTGTTTACACACATATACCATATATATATATATATATATGTATACACGGCGCACTCGCAGCAAATCGACGATACCGCTCCGTGTGCAACTGATCGTTCATTCCACTGTCGCCTGCTGAACAACACTACACATTTGTGATTGGTACTGCTGGCGCCACCTGTGCCCGATCCGCCCACTCACCTCCTCTTGAGCTTTACAGCTTCGAAATAGCCCGCGAAAAATCGATCCGATCGCATATCAATAATCCACCGATGCTGTTTTGCAACCGATACGCCCCGACATAATTAATGACAAGCCGAAGAGTGGTAATTTTGCTTGGCTTGCAATTACGATACTTTGGGTATAATGAGAGAGACGGGCTCGACAAAGGGAATAATAATTGAAAAGCCGACATGGAACGTCGTGTTCCAGACCCTCGCAGTTCCCGGGAGTCGCGTGGGAGATGTGCAATGACCGGCACGGCGATGAAGACGGCCATCAGTTTCGACGATTACACTTTCTTGAATCGTTGGGGCTTGACTTTCCTGGGGATATGGAAGTGCCGGAGGACCCGGGGACTACCGCACAGGGTCCACGTGGCGGTGCTCTTCGGCTTTTTGTTCTCGCTGCTGATACCTCAGTGGCTGGACCTTTACATCCTATGGGGCAACATTGACGCGAACGCCGAGACTTTTGTACTGAACGTCTTTACCGTGACGGCGCTGCTCAAGCTCTGGTGTTTTCTCAAGGTTCGCGACGTTTTCGAGGTAGGTTGTACATTTATTTTACGCGACAGCGTGGTACGTGTGATTATTTTCAGGGATGACAATACACTGTTTTTTCGAGTGAGGAGCATTCCCTGGCTTTTGCAACGTATATTGAAAAAGAAACAAAAAATAAATAAATAACCGATAAAACCAGTGTGGCGTGAAAGTAAAAAAATTAATTACCAAAGAAAAAAAAAAAAAAAAACTATAAACAATCGTGTCTTTTATGTATGCCGAGAAATTTGTTTTAATGTAGGTGAACTTTCTGAATATTTCTGCAGTCATATGTGATATGAAATATTATATGTGTTTTAGATTTACAGTTGATATTAATTTGATAATTGAATTAAATTGTGTTTAATTTACTCGCGGTATCTTGGCGTGAACTATATAGTATTTATCCTGAATCATCAGCGAAAGTTTGAATTAACGTATAATTATATGTACGACCACGTAAATGACGTTTTAATATTGTTTTCGGTTATAAATTTCAAAAACTCTGATACACCTATTATTAATCGTTCAATAAAACATTCACTTTTATAATTCTTTATTTACCGATACAAGCTATTAAACACCACTCGTTAACAAAAAATTTTTGTTTCACGCTCCTCTCTGACATGGAATTCCATGTATATACTAAAAAATCAGCTGTGGTATCGCCGCCCCTGACTGAAAATATATTATTATTGTGAAAACGGCTCGTGCCAGTGAGCTATAACATACGATACACAATAAGCATACATTGTACAGGAGGTGATGGGGATTTTGAGAAACAACTGGAAAGTAACGATGGCCAGCCACGAGCCTCAGCACAGGGAGATACTGCTGGAGATGGCTGCGAAAGCTCGGGCGTACACGAGACGCTACGGGCTGCTGATGTACTCGACCGCCTTCATGTACTTCGTGTCGCCTTTCACGGGCTTGCAGCACGACGACCTGCGCGTCAGGAAGTATCCGTTCTTTGGCTGGTACTATTTCGACAGGTCCTCCGGCTATTGCTACGCCGCTTGCTACGCGCTTCAGGTACACTTTTCCCGAGATTCGACGCGCAAAACAAAACAAAAAAAAAAAAAAAAAAACCATTTTCTATACGTGCGAACCTAGTGTCGTGTATGAGTAGGTAATGGCTGGAATCGTCGTTGGCACGGGCAATTACGCGATGGACAGTATTTTCTTCGTGGCGATGTACCACTCGTGCGCTCGACTTCGTATGCTCCAGTACGACCTGAAGCGGATCGGTGACAACAACACAAACGCGCGAATAGCAGAGCTTGTGCGCCAACACCAGCGAGAAATTCGGTAATCAGTGTGAAAAAAATTTTTTTTTTTTTTTTTTAAATGAAAAATTTGTTTCCGTGTGGTATAATTTGTCTTTGCCTTCCTTGCGTTTGTTCAAAATAACGATGAGCTTCGTTGATGCCTCAACTAAGGAATTCGCAAAAACTCAAGACGATTTTCCAAGGCTCCAGCTTCCAGCAGTTGCTCGTCAGCTGCATCATCATATGCGTCATCGGTTTCAAGCTCATAATTGTCGGTATCCGCTATGGCTTGTGTTTTTTCTCTCTCCTCCACGAATTTTTACGCTTTTGTGTCTCACATAACGTGCAGGCGCTCAACGAACGTAGCTTGGCTTTTCTCATTTACGTTGCTTTCCTGTTTGTGGCGCTTCTGCAGATTTTTTTGTACTGCCGGCCGGGAGAAGAAATCATTTGCCAAGTAAAGTACAAACAAGTGCAGTTTTTATTTTATTTTTTTTGTTGAGGAAAACGCAAAATTTTTATTTCATTGCTAATTGACTCACGCGTGTGTTTCAGAGCACCGCGATCGGTAGTGCCGTGTACCAGGCGTGCTGGTGCTCCTTGGATCCCGTGTCGATTAAAAAAATTATCCTGATCATCCTGAGGTCCCAGTGTCCCCTGAAAATGACGGCTGGAAAGTTTTTCGTGCTCTCCTTGACGAATTTTACCAAGGTACGAATAACGCCTCAACTGCCAATATATTTATACAGAAAAAACCATTTTCGGAAAGAGCTGATCATTATTTTTTGTAGTTAACAATAATATTACTTGCACAGATTTTGAAAACATCGCTGTCTTTTCTGTCTCTACTGCGAGCAATGTATAGCAAGAGTGATGATCATGTAGCTTAGATGCAGTTAACAAAAGTTGTATTCTACAATACCTATACTTGCTTACATCTATACGCACTTGTTACAAATAGTGAGCAGCAAAGAATAAACGAAAGCAATTCAAATTGGAATTTTTATTAACTACTAATTTCAAGAAAAAAAAAAAAAAATTCATGCACTTATTTGTGTACGTAAAAACAAATATTAGAAAAAAAAAATAACATCGCGAGAAAAAGCAAATCGCGTTTTCGTTCTTGGAAATGTGACCGTCAAGGATTTCATAGCAAGAAAAAAAAAAAAAAAAAAAAACACAGCGCAGCTCAAGCGCCACCTACTGAAAACACAAACATGGTGCCCATGGTGGCAGCGGACGATATCATGGCACGGCAAATGCACGCGTCGCAACAGCTCGGCAGTGTAGATCGTCCCGATGTAATTCGGAGGTTAACAGTTTTGCGCTCGGCCGCGCCCAGAAGTTTCGCTGCGTGAAACCCGGGGGAAACTACGCACGAAGGCAACCCTCGTCGTGTGTAAGTGTGTGCGCGTGATGTTGTCCACCTCCGTCGGGAAAGTGCTTTCGCGGCAACCTGGTACATGTATATTCACTTACGTATTCTCGCGCTCCACGCTTGTTAATACTTAATAAAACGTGTGTTCGCTTGTGTGGTTTTCAATTATTTATCTGCTGGCCGGCCTTACATAATGAATAAATCATTCTCCGTCTCGCGTTGAATCACCTTTGCCGGTCTTTCAAAGTGTTCACTTCCTTGTATCGGCTCGCACCAAACCTACTGTTTGCCTGTCCAAGTCGATATTTGGTCGATTCACTAGTCCACTTACTGTCTACCTAATAGCGCACATCTTTCTGTCAGTGTCACTGAATTCCATAGAATTTCTTTCCTCTCTTTCCTGGCTGTCGTTGTGGTTTATACGTTGCATTTGCTTGATGTTTATTTGGTGTAAGATTTGTCAATCATGCTGAGCTTTGTGTTTTTAGAGACTCAGCAGAGTGTTATGACTGACCGGGCCAAGACGATGGGGCTGGAAGCTGAGATGGCTGCTCCACTGCATCTGCAGCGTTTGGAAAGAAGTTTAAACGTACAGCCTTACTTGCACCAAGTTAATGAACTGTTTAAGGATCAAACCAGGTACTACGCACTTTTATTTTTATGTGTTGGTTGAGATGTATCTGATCTGTTGCTCTTCTCATGTTCAAAAATTTTGTCTCAGCGACAATGACGATGAAGAAGATACTTCGGATGATGAATCGGTCGAATCAGATGCAGATCTTGATGAATTGATATCACTGAAAGAAGGTTAGATTTGTTTAATGGATATTTGTGTTTCTTTTATGAATTATGCGTGCATTCACATGAATTCTTGATGTTCCAGAAAAGAGGAATAATAAACTTCGCTTGTACAATTTTGAAAACGTTGGAGAAGAGAGACGTTGGTTGCAAGATCTATTGATGAGCGATGGATCTGACAGTTCATCAGAAGAGTCGAGTTCGGATAAGTCTATCACTGAAGAAGATTTTCAGGACATGTTAAAAATCCACGTACTGAGAAAAAAATGTCAAGCCCGATTTTATCAAAAACCAGACGTAAGGAATTTTTGTTTCTTTATAAATATTCAAATCATGTATATTTTTTTTGTAATGTTGATAATGTGGTACATAAAAAATATACTTTTTTGGAATTTGCAGAATATACAGTATCAGTATTATGGGTCAGGTTTATTATCCAACCACGACAGGTTTTTGGAACATCAGAAGCTTATAGTTGGAAATAAAAAGAAGAAAGAAAAGAAACCTGAAAAAAAAGTTGTTAAAATTAAAAAAGACAAGGCTGTGCACCATGAGGATTCTCATGAAAATCAGGTGACTATTAAATTGTTTATTGAACATTACACAAGTACCACAAAGGAGATTGAAACTAACTTAACTTTGGTTTGAAGGATAATCAACATTCTGATAAGTGTAAAGATAAGAAAGTGTCCCAAGAAGATCAGTTGGATGAATCAGAAATGGAGTTGGTTATGAAACATCAACCTCGCGGACGCAGTAAAAAGAAACATAATACAAAAAGTCCAGAAGTTATGGCGATGAGAAGAAGAAAAATTTGGATGATGATGTCGAAAAAAGAGCTTGGTAAAGTTCAGAGAGCTAAAACCAATAATCATAAAGAAATGCTCATTAGCTGTAAAAGAGTAGCACAGCATTGTATGAAATATTGGAGACAAAAAGCTATGCTGGTAAGTTTTTTTTTATTTTCTTACATTGTGTGGGTTGAAGAAAATCGTTTTCATCCTCAATTTTTTTTTTCTTAGTCCCAAAAAAATATGAAGGAAACTATATGGAGGCAAAAAAGGTTGACTAGAGAAATGCAGTCATACTGGAAGCGTTATGATCGCGTTGAAAGAGAAACGAGAAAAAGACTAGAAAAGGAAGCGGAAGAACAGCGAAAAATGGATGTTGAATTGATCGAAGCAAAGCGGCAGCAGAGGAAATTAAACTTTTTAATCACTCAAACCGAATTGTATGCACATTTTATGTCGCGTAAAATGGGTAAAGCATCTCCCGAAGAGCAGTTACGAATTTTAAATCAATTGGACGAGGAAAAAAATCCTAGATTAGCTGGAATGGATGATTATGACAGGTTTGAATGGAACTTTATTTGAAGCGACTGTTGAAAATTAGTTTGTTAATTTTGCATCTTGCATTTTAGTGAAGTTATGAAGCAAAAAGCCAAAAGAAATGCAATGGAAGCGTTTGATCAAGAAAGAGCGAAAACGCGTCAGTTAGATCCCTCAACAAATCAAGAATTACGTTTGAGTGATACTCCAGAAAATTCGGAACATCCGCAGCCATCTATTTTTAAAGGAAATTTGAAAGGATACCAATTAAAGGGCATGAACTGGCTGGCTCATCTTTACAATCAGGTCAGATGATATTTTTATGCCAAATTTGCTGTTGTTACTGTTTTCTTATGAAAAAGTGTCCATTTTTTTAGGGTATCAGCGGAATTTTGGCCGATGAAATGGGTTTGGGGAAAACTGTACAGTCGATAGCTTTTTTATGTCACATTGCTGAAAGATATTGTAAGTTCTTTTTTTTTTTCCATTCTGATGATTTTTCCATTCAAGTTATTTTTTAATGACTATTACTGTTTTAGCTGTTTGGGGTCCATTTTTGATAATATCGCCCGCATCAACGTTGCACAATTGGCAACAGGAAATGGCCAGATTCGTTCCTTCATTCAAAGTTGTACCATACTGGGGTAATCCTCAAGAGCGAAAAATTTTACGACAGTTCTGGGATACAAAAGATTTACATACTAAAGATGCATCCTTTCACGTTGTAATAACCAGTTATCAGCTCGTGATTTCCGATTACAAATATTTTAATAGAATTAAGTGGCAGTACCTGATTTTAGACGAAGCACAGGCTATTAAGAGTACAAGCAGGTATGTACATATTTAAGCAAAAATTTTGTAAGATTTTTGATTCATTAGAGAACCGTTTCACTAACTTTTTCTTACAGTATGAGGTGGAAACTTTTGTTGGGGTTTAATTGTCGAAATCGATTATTACTCAGTGGAACTCCAATTCAAAACAGTATGGCTGAATTGTGGGCGCTTTTGCATTTTATAATGCCTTCTTTATTTGATTCCCATGATGAATTTAATGAATGGTTTTCCAAAGATATTGAAAGTCACGCAGAAAACAAAACGGGCATAGATGAAAGTATGTTGATATGATGAAACTAGTTTCATAAATTAATAAATGTGAAAATTTAATTCGTATTGTATTTTAGAACATCTGTCAAGGCTGCACATGATTTTAAAACCTTTTATGTTGAGGAGAATAAAAAAGGACGTAGAAAACGAACTGTCGGATAAGATTGAAATTATGGTGTATTGTCCTCTTACAACTCGACAAAAGTTACTCTACAAGGGTAAAATAACTATCATTAATCGAAAAAGTTAATGAATTATCCAAAGTGATACTTACTAAAAATATTTTTTAGCCTTGAAGAAAAAAATCAGAATAGAAGACCTACTTCATTTTTCCGTTGGCGACAGCATAGTTAATGATAAAAATTTTACTTCGAATTTAATGAATCTAGTCATGCAGTTTCGAAAAGTAACGTGATAAAGTCTTTATTGATTCGAATCGAATCACCAGTTTATGCGTTAATTTTTTGAAAAACATTAATTTTTTCTTCAAGGTCTGCAATCATCCAGAACTGTTTGAACGTAGAGATGCGAAATCACCCTATTTTATGCGAACGCAGTTATTAGACTTGCCATCTTTGTTGTACAAAGATGATGTACTATGCTCGTACGTACCGTCCAAAGAACACTTGTTGCGTAATAAATTTTTTATATTTGCTACTGAATATGTTTGTCGAGCTCTGTACGGTGAGGATATAGAATCAAGGGGAACTTTTTCATTCTCTCGATTCATTAACGTGTCACCTATGGAATTGAATAGTATATTTATTTCTGGAGTTTTATTCAGGTAATAACGAAGTTAAATTTGTATGGCAAATAGATAGTTGTGAAATTAAAATAAGTTTTTATCACCCATTCTAGATTATTCAATGCTTGGCAGCTGTCAAAAATGAAGAACATGAAGCGTTACTGGGAAGATTGGTTGGAAGATCCAAGCTCTATACCTCCTAACATTTTGTGGCTTTTAACAGAGAAACTCAATATTTCTTCTGAAATGAGCAGTGACTTGATATTTACGAGAGAAATGACGTCTGGCAACTCTGTATATACTCATGTCACTCATTCAATTCATTCAATGCCAGAGACAGTCTCCCATAGGATACTTCGTAGTAGCAAGAAAGCGAATCAACCGATAAAACATCAAAAATTGATTGTAAAAGTTGAGCAAGGTGAAGATATGAAAATTCCATTGTTGCCTGAACACCCACATACTCCTAGACCACAGATTTTAAGGCATTGTCAAAAGACGATGATGCCTCGTTTTCTTTCTGATACGATTCCTAAGGTTTGTGGTAACTGTTACAAAAGTCTGAAATTTTAGACGTTCGTCTAGACTTATCCGTATTCTGCGTGGTTTTTGTAGGTGATAGCCAGTTCCAGAAAAATATACATTAGCCATTGTACGGCTGCACGAGCACAGAAAAGACAGGAAGATTGCGGAGATGCATTTAATCAAAGACTTCTATGGCTTGGCTGCGAATTAGCTGAAAATATACCAAGTCACGTGCACGCACGATCTGTCCTTCCGACGCAATTTTCTTACCAACAAATTGGAGGTTTAACAGCCTGCAAGCCTTCGAAGGGGTGGTCTAACATTTTGGTACCAGGTAAATTTTTTCCAGCTTTTCTATAGACATAACTTCCACTACTTTACGTTTTGGAGTTCTTGATAAGATGTTAAAGTTTGCATTTAAAAAGGTTTTATAGAAGAAAAAAATATATCGTATACTTTTCCTACGTTGCATTGATGAAAAATAATTTTTTTTTTCTGCTATATCTTTAAAAATTTATTAACGTACGTTTCTAAAAAAAGTATTGAAATCTAATTTTGGGTACAAAAAACTTTTTCATACACTTTACTAAGCATTTAAGACAGTGAAAATGATAAATAAATTAGTTTTTAGTGCGTCACAGTAAGAAATTACAATTCTTTAAAAAAATATTTAAAAAAATCTAAAGGATCGAATAATAAGTTTGGGAATTAAAAAAAAAAAAAAACTAATTTTCAAATTGTGATTAAATTTGTTTTAGTAGTGACAAATGTATTTAATCATGTAACCGTTTCTGAAACTTAATAAAATTAACATAAATTGTTATAGACAACCCAATTGATGAAAGTATTTATAAATTTTGTTTTCATCAAACTTTCTTACACGCGTTGATGCTTCAAAATTTAATAATTGTAATTAACTTTTCTAGATAAACAGACGCTAGTGACGGACGCCGGGAAACTGTCCGTGTTGGATAATCTTCTCAAACGGCTCAAAGAGCAGGGCCACCGTGTTTTAATTTACTCCCAGATGACGAAAATGATAGACTTGCTAGAGGTGGGTAATTGAATATTTCATTATGCCCTACTGCATATAAGTATTGTTACGAGTAAAAACACTTTATTCCTTAGGAGTACATGTACTATCGAAAATTCACGTTCATGAGGTTGGATGGTTCCTCCAAAATTTCGGATCGCCGAGATATGGTTGCAGATTTCCAGAAAAGGTAACGAGCAAATGAAAAAAAAAATGCTTAACGAGCGAAAGGCGCTTTCGCCCGGAAGAGAGCACGGACAAAAACAAAAAATCTTGATCGTTTGCGTTTCAGGGCGGATATATTTGTCTTTCTGCTGAGCACGAGAGCTGGAGGCTTGGGAATCAACCTCACTGCCGCCGACACGGTACGTGCACTCGGCCGGTTGTGAACCGAAAAACTTAAAATTCGGCATCACAACGACCGTATACTGCTCACTTCCTCCATCGTTTCAGAGCCGTTTTTAACTCTCTTAATTAGGTAGCAGCTCTGCTGTATACCTTACCAACTTGAAACGAAATGGAAATGCACAAAAACAATAAAAAGCGCATCAGTGGCTCGTAAAAATTAGGCTAATCGAGTCAGCTAATGATGATGAATAACGACGCTTGATTCGCAGGTAATATTCTACGACAGCGACTGGAATCCGACCGTAGACCAACAGGCGATGGACCGAGCCCATCGATTGGGCCAGACGAAGCAGGTGACGGTCTACCGACTGATCTGCAAAGGCACCATAGAGGAGCGCATCCTGCAACGAGCCCGTGAAAAGAGCGAGGTACGTTACAAGTACTATACTTGGCACATTAGTGTAGTCGCGTGAGCAGGTTTACGCGTAACTTGTCGTCACCCAAATACGTAATTAGCAACTAATGTGCCTCGCTCGGCTTGTTACGTTACAGATACAGCGCATGGTTATTAGCGGAGGCAATTTCAAGCCGGATACGCTAAAACCGAAGGAGGTGGTTTCCCTGCTGCTCGACGACGAGGAGCTCGAGGCGAGATGTAAGTGGATGCTCTCTTTTACTCGATACTCGAAAAGTGCGGGACGGCCGGAAAGGAAAGTATCGAGACGGGTGCCGCGCGCGTCAGATCGGGAGGAAGGGGCAACCTGACACCCCAAGCGTGTCGCCTCAAGTGGGCAGCGTCGCTTCCCCGAAGCGAAACCCAAGACGCCGCGCGTTACCTCATCGGAGCTATCCTCTTTATTTGTATTATTATTCGATATTTACAAGTTCTCGAGGTAAACAGGTCTCGTGTAACTTGGCGAGCAACGTACCCCACTCGTCGGTTTTAATGAAATTTCGGAAGGCTCGAAGCATCGAGTTGAAATCAAAGTTGTTGAGTAGAAAAAAAAAAAAAAAACTGATTGCGTTAAGAGCCAGCGGTATATGCCCCCTCGAGGATGAAAGGAATAACGTCGCATTACGGCTTGTGCGTTCGTGTGTTTTACAGACAGCCAACGGAGCGAGGAGAGAAAGCAGCACGCCGAGGAGTCCCGAGCCAAGGCGAGCACCGAGGCGAGCCTACACCACAAGGAGAGGGACCGGAAGAGGAAGCAAACCGCGCTTCCGGTCAAGGTAAGCAGGAGAGCAGCCCTTCTCCGCTCACTTTGGCCGCCCCCCGAGCCCTTATCTCTCCCTTTTTCCTTTCTCTCCCTCTCTCCATTCTCGGCCATCCTTTACATTTTATTTCATTGTACGTATACTTTGCATAATGACCGCGTTCATTACCCGACAGAATGATGCGAAGAAACTTTGCGTTGACGAGATCGACGCCGGGCTTGACAGTTCGCATGACGTTTCGATGCAGTCCACGAATTTTCAGCATCACTCCAGCAATCACCAAAACTCGTTGGCGAACGACGATTTCGCCGGGCTGCAGTCGTCGTCGGGCCTCCATAGCTCAAAATCCGAGGTTCGTAAAATCACCTCTCTACCTACTTGTTACGTCTTTTCGATGATTACGAAATTTCCGACGTGAATTTGAATAATATGAACTGTACGGTTGTTCATACGCCAAAGTCAATTAGCTATCGCGTGTATAATGTTAGCTTCATCTAATTACCGTTATCGTGCTCGAAATTCATTGTTGGGCTTATTTGCATATTTTAATTATCTGGAGTAAAATTAAAAATGTAAGTTGTTACCACAGTAGTTTGAAAGTGTTCAAAGTTGCGCTTCCCCAAAGCTAATGGGAAGGCGTCACGCGACGGTAGGTAGCTTTGGCTTATTAAAAAAAAAAAAAAAAAAAAAAAAAAAAAGGAATGTCGAAAATTAATCCATCCACCGAGTTCATGCGAGCGGCAGCGGCTCTCCCTCGAGTATATTTATATGGCCGCGATAACAAGTTCCTCGACAACAACAATAAACTTGTTCGCCAGCCGTGGCTTTCGATTAAAACCCACGAGTTTGCATCTACTGTGCAGGACGAAACGAGTAACGAAGCCCTCATCGTAGACGTGGACGGCCCGGTCTCCTCGGACCCCCACCGCCAGCGGCACTTTGCCTTCGGGGACTCCCGGATGCGGTCGTCGATGCGTGGCTCGAGCAAACGTGGCAGGCCGCGTGGCTCTCGCCGAGGTGGGCCCATCGGCGGGAAGGCGCGGAGCATGATGCTCTTGCACCCGACCAACGCCACCAAGGCTTTGCCCACGAGCACCGCGAGCTCCTCCTTTACGGAGACGACGACCACCTCGAGCTTCCCGGCTACATCGAACTCACCAGACTCCAAGATCGGTGAGTAACACATACTTGGATACTCAATATTTGAGATAAGAACAGTTTTACTCTCCATTCTATTAAAAATTTTCATAATTTTTATAAATGTAAGTATATTTTGTAAATTGCTCCAGCACGTGGGCCACACACATGTACACCAATAAATCCAACCTGCGTTCTTATTTGATTAGTATTCTTTACTTTTCCTACGACTACAATTCATCATTTAATCAAAATTATTAACATTAATCACAAATATTCTTTATTCAAGCATCTCGCAATGGTCAAGTGATCACGAGTAGATTGTAAAAAATTAATATACTTTCTGGACGTGGAGTGAAAAAAAAAAAAATAACAGAAAATGTTTCGAATGTTTTTTTTTCTTCACAACTTTGGAACTCGAGTACTCGTGTAAAACCAACAGCCTATATTTGATGCACGACTAGTGGGTTGCGAAATGATAAAAAAAACGAAGGGAGGCGGCGTATACTCGCCCATCGTATATTGTTGTAGGTAGATATACTACACAGGAGTGAGGAGCGTTTTACAAAAGCCAACAGTTGGAAAGGATTTCACACTCTCCCGCGTTTTCGGGCTAAAAAGACGAGGGAGCAGGGCGCAATACGTACATATATTCCAGGGCACATAAGTACATTTAAGTACGCGCAGTGTGGTGCAATTCTCTGGGGCAACGCGGGTGCTCTCTCTCTCTCTCCCCCCTCGTCGAAGGGTCCCTTTTGCAGCACTTGCTCTGCGCCTCCCCCCGCTTCCTTGGGGTCCGAAGGGAAGGGAGACACGTATATCCTTGGGGTTGGTGAAATTCCCTCGCGAGCACATGTGTTCGATCGACCTCGTGGACCAATTCACTCCCTCGCTCGTAGTCTTCATCCCCTTCCCCCCTTCGCGACTTCTGGGTCTCCCCTTGTCTTCATTGTTCCGTTCTCCCCTTCCTCGTAAGAAGAAGAGCACTTATCACCGGGTATATGGGCAGATACATATTTCACGATGGGCACGAAACGATCGTGATGCCTACTTTTCTTTTCAAAGAGGTGTGTATGTGTGTGTGTGTAAGCGGTTTTCTTTCTTTTTTTTTGTCTTTTTTGTAATTTTTCACTGGATCTCTGTTAAATAAAATAAATGTTCAATTAACGCGACGTTTAAAAATAAGCTCGGTTAATTGGACAGTCCTTTGGAACAAAAAAAAAAAAAAAAAAAAAAGAAGCCCAACATCAGTAACGCACGTGCCAATCAAAATTGTATCAATTAACGATTCCGATTACCAGTGAAATCGCATCGGTATCAACGCGCTCGAGAGAAACCCATCGCGTGGAGGGCAACAAAGCGACTCGGGAGGGAGCTGCCGAGGTAAAAGAAAGGCGCGAGTGGGTATACTTTCAAAGTGAAAAATGGACCAAGCAGTAAAGATTATAATATATTAAGTATATACGAGCTGCCGGACGATGACGGCAGAGAGGGCCAACGTAAGGAAGAAAATGGGTCTTGTCGTCTTTGAGTACAGATAGCAGGTGCAGCCCAAAAGCCTGGCAGCTGCGATCGATCCTCTCCTCTCGAGTTTTCGGTAACTCGCCTTCGCGGCTCCCTCTCTCTCTCTCTACACGTACATGTGTATATATGCGGGCCGATTGCCCGCACGCGTGCGTTTCCCTTGGAGAACTTATAAATAAACAGAGATAATGGGCAGGGAGAGGGGGAAAAAAAAAGTTGGCGGGGCATGGGGGGACGCGAGAAGTCATATAGACCCGAGCAAAAAATTCACTTTCGAGGGAAAAGGTGTAAGTATATGTATATAGGAGCAGATAGGCTAAACGGCAAAGGGCTTGAGACATGAAAATTGCATTCTCCGCGCGGTTGTATAGGGAGGAGGGCTACTTATGCACGGGGAGTGAGTGAGTATGGGAGGAAGAAGGTCGGAAAAGGGAGAGATAAGAATGGGAATCGAAGAAAGCAGCGTCTTCGTATAGCTGATGTCGTCGACGACGTCGTCGGCTGGCACGATAAGGCACGCCGTCGACAAGCCATCGCCAATCTTACACGTATATAAATACACGCGCATTGGAACACGTTATTTTACTCGGTGGGCTCGTTTCTCTCTCTTTTTTTTTTTTTTCGCTGCAGACATCATATTAAACGCAATCACTTTGTTTCGCGTGGTCGAGCTACAATTCGCTCAAAATCGCGTTTTTCTTCGGCTGCATGTCTTTTTTTTTTTTTTTTTTTTTTTTTTTTTTCTTCGTGTCCTCTCCTCCGTCCCTTTTCTGCATCGATGTAAAATAAAAAGCCCTCCTTTCTCTTCCGTGCTTTCGATAAAATGGCTATCACGCCCTTTACACGGTTGAAAGCTTCACCCAAATCATATGGAAATAGCTCAAAGTTGAAGTAGTAGTGTGAAATGAATTATTTTTTTTTTATTTTTGTTGAACAAAAAATTGGGAACCGGGTGTTGTTTGTTTAAGGAGTCGTATCGGATTCGTCGACGAGCAGTCCAGAAAAACCACAGCCAGCGGTGGTCCAGCAGGTGGTGCATCGATCTCCGCAACAACATCAGCACCACAAGCACCCACATCATCATCAGCAGCAGCAGCAGCAGCAGCAACAGCACCACAACCACAGCAACCATCACCACCATCACCATAACCGTCATCACCACTACTCGCAGATGACGGTGGGTAGCTCGTCGGGCAAGTCGATGTCGGGCACGAGGCGAGGCCCGGGAAGGCCGAGGCTCAAGCCCAATGGGCCCGGGCATCACTCGTCGCATCACTCGTCGCATCACTCGCACCACCAGAAGAAGACGCCCATGGCTCTGCCGGTGCCCATTCGGGTGCACCCGAAGCCCGGTGACGCCAATCAGCCAAGTTTGAGCTCGGCCAAGGCTTCTAATGAGTCCCAGCCGTTCGGCTTCTACACCCAGCAGGTGCAACCCGGCGGCACCTAACCTTTCCTCGCCTCTTTGTTTCGTTCGATGTTTGGGTTCTACGAGAGAAACTTTTTCTTTTCTTTCTAAAATCCAAAGTTATACGATGATCAAAGAATTATTTTTCTTCAAGTGATCAGCGGCGAGATCAAACGAAAGTTTAACTATTTGTGATTGCCCGCGGCGACCTTTTTATTCCTGGGTCCCGTTCAAGAGTCGTTCACCAATTGAGGGAAAAAAATAAATGGTTTTCTTTTTTTGGTTCATTTTCCGTTAATTTATTTACTTACCCGAACGAGTATAATAATCTGCCTCGAACCCTCATGCGCGGGCAGATGATTATGACGACGAAATAGATACGAATTAGTGATATGCTCAATTAAAGGGCTCCGTACTCGGTCGCGCGTCAATTCTCCTCATTTCCTGTTTGGTCACCACACCCCCTCATCTCTTATTTACGTATTTTAGTTGATTTTTTTTTTTCCTTTCAAGGTACCGCATGCCAAAAACTCCTCGATTACTCGAACAAAACGTAGCAATAAAGTATGTCTCGTGTATATATAATGTACTATGACGTGGACGTAATTTATATACCAGTACAAATTAAAACTGTCGTTAATCATTACTTGTTTCATTGTTTTTTTTTTTTTTTTTTCTGTATCTACAAATTTCACGAGCTATCTGGTAACAATCGCGATTAGAATTGAACTTAATTTAATTTAATTTAATTTAATTTTTTATCAAAAATTAGACAGTCCTTGTTTATTATTAACCATTGAAATCATCATTGACTTTGAAAAATCAAACAGTTTCCAAGTGTACATAATGATATATACATACGTAATCAAGTGATGTTGATAATTCGATGTTCCGCGCTGTAAATAAAAGACAAAAAAAAAAAAAAAACAAAAAAAAAAAAAAAACAGACCTTGTAAAATATTTTAAACGTAGATGAATAAATTTATTTAAATACCACACCAGTGGCGTATACGATCATCATTTTTTTCATCCCCCCTCGCCGCCCCTAGTTACACATCTTGTGTGTACACTCTGGCTGCTTCGTTCTGCTGGCTGGGCAAATCTCGGTCGCCCCGAGCAGCTCCCCAGGCGACCATAGCGTAATTCCCTTCGAGAAAGGGAGAGGAATGAAAAAGGACCTCTGAGAGGGTGGGACAAAGATGGCTCTTTGCTCGCTCGAGCGGACGCGAATTCACGCATTAAAGCTTCATCTCTCTCTCTGTTGGGGGGCTGCGTCATTGTTGAGCCGCTGTTGCGTCGATGGATCATTTCGAATGCCCACTGTCGTCGAAGAGACAAATACTCGAGTGTATACTCGAGCCACAGGAGAAAAATAAAATCACCATCGACCACTGCCCTCTTAACGGCTAATCCGATCAATCAATTTTTTTTTTTTTTTCCGACCGCCGCATCAGTTACGCCAACAATACCTGCCATGTATCTGTCGAACGGACAGTTGACACTCTCAAGTTTTTTTTGTCGCGTGAAAAACGATTCAATATTTCTTCGGGGGGAGGGGCTATGAAAATCTTTTTTTGACAACACAAAGTATAAACAACGGTATATTACGTACTTACTCGGTGTAATGATAGAGCAACGGGAGGTATATGTACCTACGAGTACGTCTGCATCTGTAATTTTCTTATACACACTGCCAAGTAAAGGTAGAAGGAAAAACAGCCACGAGAGATCAATGAGCCACTTGGATGTCGTTCTAGGAAACATCGGCCTGCATTAATTACCCCAAACGCACGCGTCGCGTATAGGGCTTCGCCTGTACGTCGCCCGACGATTATCTTCTCTCTACGCGCGGGTAAGTAAGTACAATTTAATAACCCCTGTTTCGTATGGCCGAAAAAAAATGTTAATAACCACCCCCCCCCCCCGGTGGAAAAAACAATAATGAGAGTGGATTACATGTCGCAAGAATATTTGAAAAGACGGATCGATGGCTGGTGGTGGTTTTTGCGTCATCTTGGGAAACGGCGCAGTTGTTTGTCGTCGTTTATCGAGTGCAAAAGGGCCGAGGGAGTGAAGAGATCATGGAATCGGGCATTACTCGGGAGTACGAGGAGCGCATCTTCCTCAACAGGCTGGGCTTGCACGTGGTGGGAATTTGGCCGCGTGGCAAAGACTCATCGGCGCTTTTGAGGCGCGTGCATTTGGTTTTCATATACTTTTTGATGTTTTTCGTGATGGTCCCGCAGTGGCTGGACATGTACTGCTTGTGGGGGGACATAAGCGCGTACACCGAGACCCTCATGTCGAACGTCTACATAATCGCCACCGTCTTTAAGCTGTCCAACTTTTTGATATCCGCGCAAGTTTTCGAGGTCCGGTATATTCTTAACACCCGTATTTGGCACATGTCGCTTCGTTGTCACATCTTTTGTGTCGTCCAAAAGGTAGTTTTGAAAGTTATGCGCACAAATTGGATCAACACGATGAAAACGCGGGTAGTGGAGGACAAGAAAATAATGTACGATGCATCAGCGAGAGCCAGAAATTACAGCACCAAGTACGGCTACATGACGTTCTTCACGGCAATCATGTACATGGTCGTGCCGATATTCAACGCGGGGAAAAGTACGCGCGACAGGGAGTACCCGTTTTTCGGCAGGTACTACGTTGATCGACACTCAGACTTGATTTACGGGCTTTGCTATCTTGGTCAAGTAAGTGAGCTTCTCGTGCGACTTGCATTACATTTTATACTTACCATTATACGTGCCTATTCGTCAAAAAGGGTGGTATCCCGTTTTTGAAGTTGAACAGTATCGGAATTTTTTGCCCGTAAAAAAAAATAACGCCACTCATATAAACGAAAAATGGAACTTTAGCCTCGAAAGTTAGCGGGCCCAAAGTGTGCGTACCCTTTGGGCGCTGAACTAGTACTTTTGCGCCCTCGGGACGAAATTTATTGTTTTTGTATCGTCAGTTTTTCTCCGTACTGTAATTTAATTCTAACTAAAATCTAGTTTTGCAGTACTCAACATTATTTGACACATTGGGACAAACTAACACTTGTCTCATAACTATAATTTTTTCCAAAAAAAAAAAATATGTTGACTGTTGCATGAATAATTAAAAAAAAAAAAATGTATAGCGATAAAACTACACTCCCAACACTGAGCTAATATTGTACTTTTTGATAAAACATAAAAACTAAAAATTGCGGGATCAAAATCGGTTTCACCCTATAAATCGACAAAGAATACATAGGCTTTTGTACTGGTATACCTATTTCAACTTCGAAAGACGAGGTACCATCCTCCGAGGCATCGACACTCACAGATATACAGCGAAATAGCGTCAGTCAAACGCATCTCCATAAATGTACGAATGACAATGAGAAACAGATAGTCACGGGCCTGATAGTGAGCGTGGCCAATTACGCGACGGACTCGATATTTCTGGTCTGCGTCTACCACTTTTGCGGACAACTGCGCATCTTGAAAAACGACCTCGAGGGCCTGGGCCGTGGCGGGGACAGCCTGTCTGCCAAGGACAAGCTCACGGCGCTGATTCGGCGCCACCAGATGGAAATCAGGTAATGATTTACATGTATAATATATATATATACATCCCGCACGTGTACGTGGCATATGCGCGATCGACAACCACGAAAGCCATACCCGCAGCTCGATCGTCATCAATCGCACGCAGTGCTCAAATAATAATACAATATACATGTATGAAAGAGAGGGGACGGGGGGACCTTGATTTTTTGTAAAAAAAATTTTGTCCTCATTGTTTCCGACGCTCGCCAAGGAACGCCCGTGCCCTGCAAGCCATATTCAGTGGCTCGAGCTTGCAACAGCTGCTCGTGAGTTGCCTCCTGTTATGCGCCAATGGCTTCAAGCTGATCGTGGTGGGTTACGCCTTTCTTTTTCTTCCTCTTTCTCTCCTTTCCCTCCTCGAGTTAATTACTTTCGCGCCTCCTTAATCTCTTTCCTCTCGCACGTGCACGCAATACGTATACATATATAGGCTGCACACATATTTATCATCCCTCTGGTTTCGCTGTCGAATTTCCAGTCGCTGAGCAATCGAGACATCGAACAACTCATGGCGTACGTGGCCTGCATGCCGATGATACTCTACCAGATCCTCTTCTACTGCCAACCGGGTAACGAGCTAGTCGTCGTGGTGAGCTTTACAACCTTGTATACTTTTTGCATAAATCGCCCGCAATGCACATTGACCAACTGTCAAGCGCATATTATTATTACGTATGTGTATATATATATATATATATATGCCTCGATATATGCTCCTACTTGAAAAATCCGAAGCTCGTATACGGAAGATTGTTGTTACCAGAATAAGTTATACCAAAAGTGATGAGCATAGAAAAATAACGTACAGGTCTTGAGATTTCTGCAACCATAAAATTATTTTTCCGCCCTCGGGTGATTTTGGAAGGCTGTTACTTCCTCGGGCGAAAAAGCAGTTTTCCGGAACTCGTTCGAAAAGTCTCCTTTACGAACCTCGTTACGTCTCTCGCCTTCGGCTCGGGCCGCAAACGTCTCGGTTCGCAAACAGAGACTTTTCAAACTCGTAGGAAAACTACCATTTCTGTACCATGGATAGTCTATTAAATTTGTATACTGCGCATGGCTTTCTACTGTACCGTCTACCGCGCATAGTACGTGCGCTTATAATATACAGTGGAGATATGTATGTATATATATATGTGAATACTTGCATACATGTATGGGATTGTCATTGTTATTTTGGCTCAATATGTAAATTGTTCTTTGCGAGTGAAAACCAATTATTATACGCAACAGGAAAGTGACTACAAGTGCCTACTGCACTTATCATTACATCTTGTTAGATTCGTATCAATGTATTGAACTTTATATTGTGTTGTGGTGGATATACTGAAATCCTAACCTCTTGAACTTTTACAGCTACGTATATATATACTGACATTCTATATGCTCCCACTGGCCGACTAACTTTCTGTTCTGGTACAGGAAAAACCCGTACCACGTATCGGATTTTGACGTACTAAGTATAAGGTTTATCTATACTCACTAAGGTACTTTAAAGTATACTACCGTACCAAATATACCTGTACCAGTACACATTTTTCTTGTACAGAGTATCGAAAATACTTGTACTAACATATAGTACCTGTTTTTCTGGTAACAACAATCTTCCGTGATACGCGAGGGAGAGACAGGCGCGAGGAACAACTCGTGCCACATGTATACTCGCATATCAGGGCTCTCGTTGTAAAAACGCAAAACACAACAATAATAATACAAAAATACTCGAGGAATACAGTAGGAGGCGGCTGCGTGGGCGCTCCTATCAACAGGTGAACGCGCTCGCACTCCATTGGGTACACACTACCGTGGTAGCCATCGGTATTTTTTTTTTTTTTTTTTTTTTTTTTTAAATTACACTCGCATACGCTATACTCCAGTATACTTACTTGCACTAGGTGCTCCCCTTTTGGCATTTACTTTAAATGAATCGATGTCTCGGTCTTGCAATGAGCCGAGTTATCGCCGAGGTTCACTGTCGCAACCGCACGAGGTGCGAGTGTACCTTATTACGTACGTACACCGTATATGTGTAACATTGTGTGCTGCGAGCCGGCAATTATATATATATATATAGACCGGCCGGCAGCCGGGAGCTCGTATTATTTGCAGGTTGCGTACCTATACGGGCTCTGTTTCGTGTACACCTCGAGTAGGAGGAGGCCAGCCGGAACGAGCTGGCCCCCGCGTAAGGCGTATTACGTGTATATACCTACCCCGGGAGGAAGTCGTCACCGGCGTAAGCCATGTACGAAGGTGTATGGGCGCACCTCGGAAATCTCGACCTCGCTCGCTCGGACGCTCTCGACTTCCCCTCTCGTCCCTTGTACTTGTACTTGACCATTTGTTACCGATTCCCTTTCTTATTTTTCCTTTTTTCCTTTTTTTTTTTTTTTTTTTGGCCAAAACTCATCAGTCATCCAAACGGGCCTGAATTCGTTTGTCATTTGTACGTGCGCCCAGGTGGCTGGCAGTCACTTCGAGTGTATACTTACTACATTCAGATTTGTCGTTGGCTTTTTTTTTTTTTTTTTTTTTGTGACCGTTTGCCGGAATTAAAGTTTTTGCTGTACTGCGTGTATATACGATGACGCGACTAATAGATAGCCGTACGAATAACGAGTCACGCCAAGGGGGACTATGACCTATTGTACATCATTATGCATTCGTTCCATTTATTGGAATTTATACATATACTTTGATACTAAAAAACATTACACGTAAAATGAGCAAATAGTAGTATTTTGATTCAAATATGTTATTTTCGTAGCGGTTGTGCCTTGGCCAAACTTTTTTCTTTTCCTTTCGTGGGTACCTGTACCGCGAGTGCCAATGGATTTTCGCGAAAAAGAGAAAATCGGCCAGCGACGAGAGAAGCGTAAAAAGCTCTCCTCGAGCAAAGTATTGTGCAGTCGGGCGTACTCTCGTGACTTTTTTTTTATCTTGGCCGTTGGCCAAGTCTGCTCGTGCTTTTGCCGCAGGGGAGGCGTACACACCACATACATACACAAAAATCCTCTATACGCGATAAATTTTACCCCAGCGGCGTTTCGCTCGACTTTTCCCGAGAAACAAGAGAAATTAAAGTGCCAACCCACTTTTGCGCATTTTTATTGAATTTCGTATACTCCCCCCCCCCTCCCCTGAACCCATGTACCACCAACTCGCGTCTGTCGTTTCAGAGCCAACTGCTCAACGAGGCCATTTATCAATCGTCCTGGATAAATTTGGAGCCGACGCTCGCTCGCCACCTCATTTTCATGATCCAAAGGACCCAGAAGCCCCTGGCCATAACCGCGGGCAAGATCTACGTTCTCTCCCTGCAAAATTTCATGAGGGCAAGTATACTTTTACCCCGTCCTACGGCTACAATCGCACTTTGCACCGCGTCGTGCAACAAACTTTTTTTTCTCGACCATACTTTTGTACACTCTGCGGGCGAACTTTCGGCTTGTTACGCCAAAAAGTTTGCTGCACGACTGCATTGCGCGACTCCGCTACGAGAAGACTTTTATTACGAATGCATTATATAATGCTTTATAATTTGATGAAAAACAAAAACAAAAAAAAAAAAAACAAAAAAAAAAAAATGATGTATCGTTGATCGTTTTAGATCGTGAAGATGTCCATGTCGGCGCTGTCGGTGCTCCAGGCGATGTACAGAAAGAACAGCCAGAAATCTTTGTGAGCTAAACACAAGATGCGCGTAAATATCTGAAAATTGAAACCAAAAGAGCTATACGTGTTGTAAAATATGCCGAGTATGTGCATATAGAAAAAAAAAATCGTAGTTGGGTCAACGACAGCCACAATAAAGCGCGTTATGGTGTACGTGTTAACAATTCTCGTGTGCTTTTTTTTTTCCCCCTGCCACTCGTCAGGTATATATACAGGTATGGGTGTAGGTGTAACATATACATAATATTTTGTTGTAATGCACGCGCGCTGAGCAAGTTCATTTCCAAGGATTTCTCGGGGGGCACGATGGGCAAACTGTCCAGAGGAGCAGAACATAACGAAGCGTGTGCACACACACGGAGCCCAAGTACCGACTCCCGAGCAAGCGAGCCAAGACTGTGTATGTGCCGTGGTGCTTCGGGGCGCGCAGCGAGCGTGCTTCCGGCCTTGACCGGAAGTCGCGATCAAGAGAGGCTCCTCCGACGTTACGCTTCCTTACGCGTCTCTCTCTCTCTCTATCTGCTTACGCTATGTGCTACGCTGTTGTATGTATACATTCGGGCACCGGCTTTGCTACAACGCAACTATGTACCCTCCTCCTGTTGTATATTTTGTTTCTGCATACTTACGTCCCTATATTGTGCACCTACAACTGCACGTACACACACGCGTAACGTAAGAGTAATGCAACAGCGTAACGCTGCGAAAATCCGTCCACCTCGTGTGTATATATACAAGTATACATGCACCAAGGAGAGTGGGTGTATTTTATCTGGTGCGTTTCTCGCAGATGTGTCACCCGCGCGTATACTCGTGATAAAAAAAAAAAAAAATAAGAGACAATGGGGCGAAAGGAGGGTACAGCGATGGTCTGTTGGTAGCAGAGAACAACCCTTTTTTGCTTTTCTCCCCCTCCGAGTTCTTAAGTTCGGAGAGCCGGTAGACGCTTTGACCCACTGCCTTTTTCTTCTCATCATCATCGCGTTTTTTTTTACTTTTACGTGTACCTATACGTGTACATGTATATATGTAAGCGCGTGCAGTGCACTACACACTTATACTCCTCCTCGGCTTTTTGACGACGCACATATGCTCTCCTCTCGCGCGTCTCTGTTGTTTGTGCAGTTCCTTTTCTTCCTCTTCTGTCTTGTCTTTGTCTCTCTTTTTCCCTTTTCTTTGGCTCTAGTAGTATAATAATCTGCCCCGTACGGGCAAGAAAGGAAGCCGGAATTGGGTCGCCGGCACTTACAACATGTTCCCTCGTAGACGCGAGCGCATAGGTATATAACATGTAAACGCCAGATATGGGCCTAGACTCTATGGTCTATTCCGGCCGTGGTGGACAATATATAAGAACGCGCAGGTGAGACACGCGGTTCCAGTTGTGCGGATGTAGCAGTTGAGTGTTTTTTTTTTTTTTTTCTTCTAGATGTACCCACCGGTTTGCTATCCCCTGTCGGATATAAAATAGTCGACGAATGATAAGCCGCCACACGGTAGGTTCACAATAAAGCTGTAATTGCCCGTCGTAGAACAACAAGGTCCTATCCGTTCGAAGTAAGAAGGGCACAAAAACATCGAGATGATAACAATGGGGGTGATGGTTTCTGGGTGTGAAAAAAAAAAAAAAAAAAAAAAAAAAANTTGCTGTTGTTGGACAACTTTCCGATCCTTGGGACCGATCGATGCGTACCTACGTCGAAAGGATGATATTTTCTAAAATCGTGGCCTCTGTTGTAGATCCTCGTTCTTGCAGTATTGCCGATTTTCGTCGTATATATATATACACACATATATATATATATATATACACACGAGTGCAACTTCAACTTCCGCAAAATAAATCGCTTGGATGGGACATTCGTTTTTCGGCCATGTTGCATACGTGTGTGCCGTACATTTGAAAATGATAAAACAAATCCTAGCAATAAATCATCATCCTATACCCATGGAACTATGCAGTTAACGCCCCCAAAACCCGCTTAAAAGCTAAAAATCCCGGGGGAGAGAAGATATGCCCCCCCCCCTTATGCTCTCGAGTGGCTGCGCGAGGAAAAGCTCGTATTCGGTCATTTCTTCCCTTGTTTTTCCACAACGAGCCAATACACCGCAGATGATTGCGGTCGAGCAGATAAAACAACATTGTGTACTTGTACGCGCCCTCGAAAAAAGGGCCAGGTATGTGTACATGTACAAATATATATATATATATATCTGGCTGTAAATAAGTTATATGTGAGTTACGATACACACACCTATATGTATAAATATACCTAGAGCCGAGGGAAAAAGCTCACCGAGGAGAGTTTGTTTTTGCGTGCGGAGTTTAACGCGCCCGACGCACGCGACTCGCGCTATAATTCATCATATATGCGCGCACGCAACGCAATTAGTATAGACGCAAAAGTCAAAAAGTTATACGTAACATGTGTGCAGTGCTTGCGATACACCTACGCGTGTAAAGGGGCTATTTGGATTTTACGTGTACCTACTTAGCGAGAGAGAGAGAGAGAGAGAGAGCGTGTGTACGTGTGATGGGTGTAAAGTGGATGCCGATGCGCGCGGGGATCGGCAGCAGAGGAAAAGGAGCAGGTGTCGATGATGACGTATGTAGGCACCACACACTATAATATGTACAACGCAAGCGGAGAGCATCGAAAATCGACGATCGAAGCATGCACGGCAGGGCTCTCGATTTCTGTGTATTATGGGATACATATAGGTATACGGCGACATTTACGCACATGCGGCATGCCTCCTGTACCGCGAGCCGAGCACCTTTCCTTCGGGGGCCCCCGACATCTGGCACCAGCAGTCCAAACACGCTTTTGTCGCCTCCTCCTCCTCCTCCTTTTCTCATCTTTCCACCCTCCGTCATATACATATTTTACGTGCGTATACCTATATCGTGCGACACTGCGCTCCGTGCATGAAAACACCTTCGCATCGTATACTTATACCTGCCGATATACGGGTGGTGTACTGCACACATACGCGTGGCCCTGATTCCCGAGGACGACGTCGCCAATATCAATTCATCAATGTACAATCGGGAGCTCATGTGTTTTACCATTGCTCTTTATACCTATAATAGGTACGTCAGTGGAAATTCACCTGCTCTATACCTGGCTTTTTTTGTTTTAAATCATCAGAATTAATATTTAAATGCGGGCGTGAATTTTTTATCATTGATAACAAGTAGCTCGAGTTGCAAATTTTGCGTCCAAGCAATCATTGAAAACTTTGTTACAGTGAATCGATCGAATTTTTGGGTTGCAATAATTCAGTAAAACTTTTTTTTACTCAAGAGCAATTTTTTCAATATCCAACTGGAGTTGGAGTTTCATTTTCAAAAAAAGTTTATTTTTATTTATTACAAAAAAAAAAAAAAAAAAAAAAAAAACACTCAAGTCTCAGGTATACCTACACAATGTACATATAGTATAAAGCGAGAGCGCTTGTTTGACCAGAAATCATCATCGGGCTTTTTTTTCCACTGCAGTGCTGCCGTCTCACGGGTCCACTTCTGTCTCTCTCTCTCGAGGGATTTTCCCACACGCTTTTTCCACCTTATATACCTATATACATGTTTGCCTTGTACCCAAACAAACGAAAATCCATTTCGTTCCGCTGGGCAAAAGCGCTCCTCTTGTGTGCATGTGTACATCCAAAAGAGAGCGGAGGGTGCAGTCACTCTCCCATTACTTAGCCCGAGCTTTCCTCGCCAAAAACGTACATGGTATATTATACGTGTAGACGTAACGCGTTCGTAACACGAGCACAATGCACGAGTATGGACATTGTGAGGGAAGAATGAGCATGAATGATGCGCCAAGAGATGAAAAGCCGCGTCTTAATCATGATTGAGCGAGCATATAGGAGAACAATGATACAAGGTATATAGGTGGGTACGCGTGGTACAACAATGTGGGGTCGGAAGCTCCTTGGAAAAATTGTAGCTTCCGAGCCCAAGTATAGGATGAGCGAGTGAAGAGCGAGCGGGAAGGGAGCGAAGGAAAAAAAGAGAGAGGGAGTTCTGGAAGAAGAGGAACACGCTGCTTGTGCCGGGGAGAGAAGCGGCGCGTGGCTGATGCTTTCGGATGCCGCCAGATGTTACGGAGGTACAGGCATCTTTCTCCCTCCGCAGCTTTTCCTCTTATTCAAAATGTACGTCTCGAGAGAAAGAGAGAGCCGCACTGTCTGCCTTGGCTGCGTGTGCCTCCTCCTCCTGGTGCAGCGCCGAGAAAGAGGAGCTCTCGCAGGAGTCTGATGCTTTTTGGGAAAAAAAGAGCACGCGCTCGTTAGCCCCCGAGATCTCGTGCAAGCTGCGCGTCGTCGGATGAATGTATACATACGACGCGTGTAAGTATGAGGAAAACGAGAGAGGAATTGTGGCGTCGCTCGTTCGTATACGCCCGTTGATTGAGACGAAAGTCAACTTGGCCATAAAATTACTCTCATCTCGCATTACTCACCCATTGATACTCTTTTCTTATACCCCCCCTCCACCGTCGAATCTTCAATTTTTGTACCGCTGACGCTAAGTGCTCCTGTGGATGGATGTGTGTATACATGATTTTGATTTTCTATTTTCGTAGGGAACTGAAAAATCGCTGGAGTAAAATTAAAAAAAAAAACAAAACAAAAAACCCAAGTTTTTTCAACAAACTGAAATACATATCGTGTAAAAGGTCAATGGCTATACAGTTTATCACCTTGCAATTTTCTCAAAACTCGGCGATTATCGCACTGTAAACACGTCGATTAATATATTAGAAATCGGTTGAGCGATTGGCTTGGCCGTGCGTGGCGTACACCATCACTGTCGAAGCTGGCGTCTCTCGCCAATCTGCTCGGGTGTTGTCGAAAACAAGTACTTGAAGAAGAAAAAAAACAAAAAAAAAAAAAAAACAAAGCAGGAGCACGAAAAAATAAGCGAGTATTCTTCATCATTGTTCCCGTGTATACGTGTGCAAAAATCTCGGTTCCAGTGAAGCTGGGCACAGGCGTTTCCGGTTGCGCCGAGCTTATCGCGTACCTCGTCGCTGTTTCCACTTGAGAACTAGTTATCGTTTGCAATTGTTGCTGCTGCTGCTGCTGATCGTCGAGGGCGGGGCAGGGATGAGGCAGTCCGGGTCGACAGCGACAGGTGAAGCGGTCGCGCAGCGGCCGGCACTCCGCGTCACCGCACGGCCGCGCTTCGCACGCGTGACCACAGCTACCCACGTTTACGCCACCCAGAGCCTCTGCCAGAATACCCACCTGACGAACACAGAAACAAGGTTCACGCTGTCATCGATATTTTACTGAGAATGATTTAAAAAAAAAATTTTTTTTTATCATCTTACGCTGTTTTTTTTTTTTGTAATTGTCATATTTCAATACGAATAAAAAATGCGACGAGTGGTTCAAGTTCTCCTTGGTGAGCTTTTAACTGTTGCAAAAAAAGGTGAATTCTTTCAGTTTGCCCGGTTTCAAAGTTTCGCCTACCTGCCTGCTTTCGTTTGCTTGGCAAAGAAAAACGCGATGATAGACACACACGCCTATATCTCCCGGGGCTACAGTTAACTTGCGGAAAAATGGTAATGGGAATCTAGAGTGGCGGCATGGTAAAGCTAAAACATCGGCTTCGTGCGTTGAAGTTGCGGAGGAGGATGGAAGCGGAGAAAGGCAATGCGTGGAATCTAGATTTACTTTGGAAGAGTTCCTCCAAACTTTTCGGCTCTTTCTTTTTTTACACCACAACTACGAGTGTTTTCAATTTTTTGCCTAAAGAGATCATTTAGTCGGACGAATAGTACATCAGTTGTGGGTAGGTTATTTCCGGTACCGGACAATATATTTTTGGCACACCAACTTTTTTATGTGTCCGTCATCATGTCTATCTTATTTGTTCAAATTTTTTTCGTATACTACGCATTTGTTTGTCTATTTTTGTTACTTTTACGTTCATTATGTTGTCCATGACTCTTCTAATCTTTGCGATGTATTTTTTTGATTCGCAGATAATTTTCGTTGTGATTTACAACTGAAAATTTAAGACCTGGTGCAGTTTAAAATTTAAAACAAAATTTAAAATTCCTATTCTATTTAGAGAGCATGTAAATGCTCTGTATATGAAGTACACGCAATGTCCTACTAACTTTAGCAGATATTGACTCAAATTGGCCAGTTTTTAATTAATAATGTGAAAAATAACACACCTAGGTATTACAGATCCAGTATAATGGAAAACTTGCGTGTAGTTACAAATTTAAAAATGGGCTCGGCAAAGTCGTTTGTACAATTACGTTCATTGCTAATTTTTGCCAAAGTTAGCAGTACTTTAATTAATACATTTTCTCGTAGAACGGCAAATTTTGATCCCATTATCATACACCATTTCGAAAAGTGTCATTCCAACATTGCATACGAGTGTAGAGGGTATGTTGGATCGTTTTTTTATTCCAGACAAAGTGTCTCTGAACTGTAGAAAGTTTATAAAAGGATTACTTATGCATGTGAGTTTATACACACGCGCGATTATGAAAATATTTTTAACTTGCCATATTTTGACTTTAAAAGGCTATGGGGTCATTCTGAAACTACTTTCTTTCATTAGAAAGTGTCAAAAATGTATCTCCTCACAAAGATTGGTTCATGACTAATCAAACAAAAAAATTCTTTCTTTCTCAAAGCTTTCAAAAAGTGTTTGCAATCGTCGGATCATTGGCTTACCTCGCGTCGATTCAACACGACAGATTGTACACAGCCAACAAAGCTTGCGTTCGTCTTTAACTTTGGCGAGTACATTTCCGTCGATGGTGTTCCACCCAGGTACATGTTAAGAGGTAATGAAAGTTGGGTAAAAGCACCCGGGGCCATCATCTCTATGGCCGGGTCGTCTTCCACTTCCAAAGAGGCAAGACGACCAGTCCTCGACACTCTGATCTCGATCCACTCGTCCAGTTTAATTGGCCTTTCACTCCTGGAAGTACACATCAGTTGTTTTGTTTAATATTGCCATTCTTTTAATTTTACTGAAGGAAAAAAAAA